AATAGGAAAAAATATAGCTCACCAAAAAGTTGAACGGAACCATCCCTCACATATTTCATATGATCGTACTGGTATTTCTCTAATTACTTGTATTTGTCAAAGGAAAACTTAAAATTTTTATTTTTTATTAATGTAAATTCTTAATCCTCTTATTATTTATTACAACTGTTGCACCACCTCTTTGTTCTATATTATTAATTAATACTACACGTTTCTATCTATACTAAAGCCATATTATACTGTTATATCTACTAATAAATTCTACACAAAATTAAAGTAATGTAAATATTAAGATTATTAAAAGAAGTACTCTAAACTTAAATACAATAAGTGAATAGCTTGTATGAATTTTTTTTCAAATCTAAAGTTACCTTGAACACCTTGATCATTCTTTATATTCTTTTTATTTGACTACTTTCCCATGTTTAGTATTTCTATGTAGCTAATACAACGAAAACTTCGCTTCTAAGTGAAGTTTATGGGTATACTAATTATTTTTGATTATTTTTGCATTGTAAATAGACGTTCTATCGAAGCGAAAAATGGCTTTTGCGGTGATGAAACGTTACGTTTTTAAAAAGTACTTTAAAGTGTATAAATAACTGCATTCCAATTAATTTCGATGGTTTTGAATTTTATTATAACGCTTTAAATTTCAATAATAATGTTCCGAAAGGTGAGATCGAAAATATTATTACCTGCGTAAGCTGGAGGAGTGGTGATGATTTAATAAGGCATATTTTAGAACGATGGGCAGAAAATACCAATGCACAAGAAATATCTAACATTATAACTGCCGTTATGAATGTTGCTCAAAAACTTTGCTCAGTAGTAGAGTTTTTAAAGGATAAAAGAACTCTAAGAGCAATGCAGGTTCAAAATACGAAAACAATTAGTTGTGATTGCTTTTATCATAAAATAGAATTTCTTGCATTAATGGAGGAACCTTTCAAGCTATTAATTAATAATAATAATAATATCGATAGTTTTATAAGAGACAAAATCGATCAGTTAAAAGGCCTTTTATTAGATCAATTACCATTTAGTATATTTCCCAAGCTATTACAATTGTTTAAACCTTTGGAACACGTCAAAATCGTCACCATGAGAAATATCAGAGATATGCTTGTTGCTGCATTTAAACTTTTGGATGAGATTCCTCCCTGGATTTGGACGATTTATTATTTGGAACACTTGGCCTTCAAATCATTTCTAGAATTTTTAATCTATTCATATCTAAACCTCTATCAAAAAGTAGGTATGTTTTTGGATCCAAATGCGAAACCAATTTTCATTGATGATGTAAGTTTCATTTAACTTTAACATTGTTGCAGTTGTAAATTCAATTTACGTTAATACATTTCATACAATGTATTAGGAAGCAGTTAAAAGGCTTGTGCTAGACGAATGTCAAGACTATTATTCAAAAATTGATAATTCCTTTGGCAATAATTCGAATGAAGCAATACAATACTTAGCAAATGACGAATTAGAACGTTATAAAAATCTTCCAGCAATTTTTTTCAGTGAAAATGATGACCTGTGTAAATGGTGGCAAAATTCCAAATCTAGATTTCCTGGGTTAGCTACTCTTGCAATAAAATATTTGCCTTTACTAGGATTAGATAACGATCTCCCCTTAGAAAATTTAGACAAATTTATAGAAGTTTATGATGATGGTTTTGACATAGTAGATAAGATGGCATTTTTACATTATAATATGAAGCACATTGATCTCTAAACGTATACTTTATACACTTTTCCCTGTTGTCGGGGTTAATGTTGAAATTTGTAATAGTTAAATATACTAGATAATATCACATATAATATCAAAGTAATAATTATAGTAAGTTGACATATTTTCTTAATATGATCAAATGTGGAGGTGAGTCAATAGAAACAAGCAAATTTAGTAAACTTTTTTTTTTTAAATTTCAACAAAATAATTTAATCAAATTTGATACTATTGACTCACCGCATATGAATAATAAAATCAAGCAGCGTATTTTCATAGGCATATATTAACACGTATGTGAAACAGGCATAAAGCTCAGATTTTAAAAATTCATAAAGCTATAAAAAAAAGTAATTTTGCTTTTCAGCTAACCTCTGTTGTTCTTTTTGTATAAAAAAAGCATTATTGACAAGATCAAAATTTGTGCAGACTCTTGATATAATTAAATGTAAGACCTTATCGTTAATGCCTATTAGTTATATGTAGACTTATTACAAGGGCAGGAACCGAACATCTAAACTGAGTAGAGAATGGAAAGATCTTTTACTCCGTTCTAGCTAACTAAACCGGACTAAGACATGAACAAAACGTTAAATTAAATTGTGTATAAAATGTAAAGCTTTTGTAATATTCTCAAAGTTGCAATAGTTGCATGAGAGTTCCGTTACGTTGATATTATGAATAACACTTCATACGTCACGAAAGCATCGTACAATTTCAAATAGCCTAGGTTACAATTCACAATACGTAAAATATCACACGTCGAGTTATATTGAAATCACTACGATGTTTAACAAAGATCTATTATTATTATGCCATTTAAATAAAATAGACTGCTAATATGTGGACTTCCTCTTTTTCTTTACTAAATCTCATGTGGCATTTCCTTTAAAAACAATAAACCTCGTTATAAATAGAATAAATAAACTACTGAATGAACGATTGCTAATGTCACCTTCATCTACTGAATTTCGATAAATTCATTCATCACTTTTTTCACCGTCTCAGTGAATAAAATAGTGTATATGTTGCAAATGGAATCGGTTTTGGATTTCTTTATAAATATAATTTTGGGGTAGAATTTATTCTTTATAAACCTATACCTTAACCCAAAAATCCTAAATCCGCTTAAATTCTGATCCACTTACAACATATATATTTCATCACTTTTTGAAAGCTAAATATGTACATCGAATTAATTTTACACCACAATATTAATTATATAATGCAGTTCATATTTATCTATTATCTTTTATGTAGATTTGAATCGGTTGGGCTATAATCGGTTAATCGTTTATATATGTTAGTGCCTTGTGTAGTTTAGTAG